TAGTACAGGAGATGAACAGAGACTGCGGACATAGAACAGGAGATGACCGGAGACCGCGGACACAGTACAGGAGATGACCGGAGACCGCGGACACAGTACAGGAGATGACCAGAGACTGTGGACACAGTATCCAAATTGGACAGGTACCCGCTCCCACTTCTGCTGCGATTACCTCTCTCCTCGTAGTCTTCTGGGACACATGACAGGTCCCAGAAGACTACGGGGCCATTCACAAAGTGCAGCGCTTCTCGCGCATGCACAGTGGGCACCCGGCTGTGAAGCCACAAGCTGCCCACACTAAAGATGATGACACCGCTGGACTGAGGAACATGTAGGACCGAGGAGCAGGTTTTGCTGCAGAGAAGAGCCTAGCGGCCAGCCCAGTATTCTAACACAGCGGCGACGGGGGGAATACTAAGCTGGCCGCTCCATAAGACGCACAGCCATTTCCCCCCATTTTTTTTGGGGGGAAAAAAAGTGCGTCTTATGGAGCGAAAAATACACTGTGTGTGTGTATGTATATATATATCTCCACTTGGCGACTGCCCACCAGCAATATACTGCAGCGGCCACTGTCTGCAAAGAAACGTATTCCTACGTCGCTGCTGCCTACTTACAGGTTTAGGGCCTGTGCATTCATGTCCCTGCCAGTCAACTGCTGTGATTGTACACAGCAGGAGCCTGTCAGCAAGTCCTGGCCAATAATTTACGGCTGGGACTTGCTGACTGGCTGTGTGCAATCACAGCCCAGAGGTCTGTACAGAGGGAGCGATCTGTCAGTTTCAGCTGAGCGATATACAGTCAGGTCCATAAATATTGGGACATCGACACAATTCTAACATTTTTGGCTCTATACACCACCACAATGGATTTGAAATGAAACAAACAAGATGTGCTTTAACTGCAGACTGTCAGCTTTAATTTGAGGGTATTTACATCCAAATCAGGTGAACGGTGTAGGAATTACAACAGTTTGCATATGTGCCTCCCACTTGTTAAGGGACCAAAAGTAATGGGACAGAATAATAATCATAAATCAAACTTTCACTTTTTAATACTTGGTTGCAAATCCTTTGCAGTCAATTACAGCCTGAAGTCTGGAACGCATAGACATCACCAGACGCTGGGTTTCATCCCTGGTGATGCTCTGCCAGGCCTCTACTGCAACTGTCTTCAGTTCCTGCTTGTTCTTGGGGCATTTTCCCTTCAGTTTTGTCTTCAGCAAGTGAAATGCATGTTCAATCGGATTCAGGTCAGGTGATTGACTTGTCCATTGCATAACATTCCACTTCTTTCCCTTAAAAAACTCTTTGGTTCTTTTGCAGTATGCTTTGGGTCATTGTCCATTTGCACTGTGAAGCGGCGTCCAATGAGTTGTGAAGCATTTGGCTGAATATGAGCAGATAATATTGCCCGAAACACTTCAGAATTCATCCTGCTGCTTTTGTCAGCAGTCACATCATCAATAAATACAAGAGAACCAGTTCCATTGGCAGCCATACATGCCCACGCCATGACACTACCACCACCATGCTTCACTGATGAGGTGGTATGCTTAGGATCATGAGCAGTTCCTTTCCTTCTCCATACTCTTCTCTTCCCATCACTCCAGTTCAAGTTCTGAACTCGGTCTCATCTGGCCATAGGATGTTGTTCCAGAACTGTGAAGGCTTTTTTAGATGACGTTTGGCAAACTCTAATCTGGCCTTCCTGATTTTGAGGCTCACCAATGGTTTCCATCTTGTGGTGAACCCTCTGTATTCACTCTGGTGAAGTCTTCTCTTGATTGTTGACTTTGACACACATACACCTACCTCCTGGAGAGTGTTCTTGATCTGGCCAACTGTTGTGAAGGCTGTTTTCTTCACCAGGGAAAGAATTCTTCGGTCATCCACCACAGTTGTTTTCCGTGGTCTTCCGGGTCTTTTGGTGTTGCTGAGCTCACCGGTGCGTTCCTTCTTTTTAAGAATGTTCCAAACAGTTGTTTTGTCCACGCCTAATGTTTTTGCTATCTCTCTGATGGGTTTGTTTTGTTTTTTTCAGCCTAATGATGGCTTGCTTCACTGATAGTGACAGCTCTTTGGATCTCATCTTGAGAGTTGACAGCAACAGATTCCAAATGCAAATAGCACACTTGAAATGAACTCTGGACCTTTTATTTGCTCATTGTAATTGAGATAATGAGGGAATAACACACACCTGGCCATGGAACAGCTGAGAAGCCAATTGTCCCATTACTTTTGGTCCCTTAACAAGTGGGAGGCACGTATGCAAACTGTTGTAATTCCTACACCGTTCACCTGATTTGGATGTAAATACCCTCAAATTAAATCTGACAGTCTGCAGTTAAAGCACATCTTGTCCGTTTCATTTCAAATCCATTGTGGTGGTGTATAGAGCCAAAAATGTTAGAATTGTGTTGATGTCCCAATATTTATGGACCTGACTGTAGTAGTAATAGGACCACACTTCACACACACATTACACATAGGCACACCTTTATCCCTTTGATCATCCTAGATGGTAACCCCTTCCCAGCCAGCATCATTAGTACAGTGACAGCGTAAAGTATTTTCACTGTATTGATGTCACTGGTAATGTCAGTGGCAGATAGTTCCCCACCAGGATCAGTTTGCCAGTCGCAATATCGCAGTCCCGTTATAAGTTGCTGATCGCCGCCTTTATTAGTATAAAAAAAAAATTAAATTCCAGTATATCTACCATAGTTTGTAGACACTATAACTTTCATGTAAAACCAATCAATATACACTTATTAGGATTTGTTTTTTTTATCAAAAAACATGTTTTGGTCAAAATTTATGAAGGAATTTTATTTTTTTTTCTATTTTTTTTTTTTATTGGATATGTTTTATAGCAGTCAGTAAAGACTGAAAATTTTGAAACCCCCCCCCCCCAACATTATATTTAAATCACAGAAAAATAAAAAACCCAGTAGCGATCAAATACCACCAAAAGAAATCTATTTGTGTGAAAAAATGATTGTGAATACAGGAGGTCAACCGCTTAGCACAGGCGCCATTCAGAAAATGCTTTGCATTTTCTGATTGAATGCAGTGTTTGCTTGATTGGACAAGGTTGAGAGCGTGACATCATTGCCCTGCCTCTCCACCTTGTTCAATCAGAGAACACTTTACATTAATTTAGAAAATGCTAAGCATTCTCTGGTGCCTGTGCCAAGTGGCCAACCTCCTGTGTTCGCAATGAAGGAGAGTAACCTCTCAGCATGGGAACTGCTCAGCATGAGAAACAAGTGAAGATCACCGATTCAACAGCACTCTTGAGCATCCCAGCTGGTTATGCTGCACCTTGTAGTTCCACAAACATTGGGCTATGCTGTGACCTGTAGTGCCACGGACTATGTATAATCACTATTATTGCTATATAAGCACACATATATCACTTGGCACTTCTGTGACTTTCGATACCACAGACTATCCACTATTTATATTCAGAATTATAGAGTTTTTCTGATCCTATGTGATCTGACACATTTTATTTGATTTATTTCACTGGAATATTGTATGAACACTTCTATTCACATAAGCACTTTATGATTGCATTTGTCACTTATGCTTTAGTGCTGCACTTACCGTATTTTTCGCTCCATAAGACGCGCCTAGGTTTTAGAGGAGAAAAACAAGAAAAAAAATATTCTGAACCAATGGACTGCAGACACAGTACAGGGGATGACCAGAGACTGCGCACACAGTACAGGAGATGACCAGAGACTGCGGACACAGTACAGGGGGGATGACCAGAGACTGCGGACACAGTACAGGGGATGACCAGAGACTGCGGACACAGTACAGGAGAAGACCAGAGACTGCGGACTGCGGACACAGTACAGGAGAAGACCAGAGACTGCGGACACAGTACAGGAGATGACCAGAGACTGCGGACACAGTACAGGAGAAGACCAGAGACTGCGGACACACAGTACAGGAGAAGACCAGAGACTGCAGACAGTGCAGGGGATGACCAGAGACTGCAGACAGTAAAGGAGATTACCGGAGCCTGCAGACCTTTGGGGAGGGAGGGGGAGTGGGTGCCTGAATTTTACAGGTACCCGCTCCCACTTCCGCGGAGTTGTCCTTCCCTCTTCTTCCCCCGCCGGCTTCTGTGACAGCCGGGTGCACACTCCGCATGCGCGTGAAGCGCTGCGCTTTGAGAATGGCCCGGAGCCTTCTGGGACCTGTCGTGTCTCAGAAGACACCGGACCATTCACAAAGCGCAGCGCTTCACGCGCATGCACAGTGGGCACCCGGCTGTCACAGAAGCCGCCGTGGGAAGACTGCAGCGCTGGAGCGAGGAATAGGTAAGGTCCTGGGGGGGGAAAAAAGTACGTCTTATGGAGCGAAAAATACGGTACATTTGAATGTCATATACATAGTTACATTGGTCAGCTGGACCATTGTAACTATGCATAACATACCAATCCCTGGAATTATTCTTTACATTTTTTTTCTTTACTTTTTTTTTTTTTTACTAGCATGTTAACTTTTTTCATTAACACCTAGATACAGGTCTCCTTTTTTAGGCAGTACTTGTTACTCACAAAGTCACCCATATGACTGAATTCTCACTTCCACCATGCACACATGTTCCGCATATGTTTTATTTCTAATCCTAACAATAAATACACAGCAATAGCAGTGTTAAACATGGGTTTTACTGGCACTCTTTCAGAAGTTTGGCAAGACCATTCCAGCAGAGACAGCTCCTGTATACCAAGACAAAGGTTTGACACATATTGCAGGGAAAGAAAGGAAAGTAAAAACTTTTATTTACTGGTTCCAGCAAGGTTTCATCCTACTGCTGCTAAGCTGGCCAAGAACAGATTTCAGCAAGGGCATTTATAAAAAAAAAAATTGTACACAGACAAAAGCCTTGGAGGTAGATAACAAAACGTATCTAAAATCCATATTTATTCACTTGTGCTATATATACTCAATTGCATTTATTGCTGAAAGGAAAACAGATTAGCACAGTTTAATCCTCGGTGGTATATCCACCCGTGTGACAATCAGAGAAGGTAATACAGTGTTTCTAAGAACCGAGGTGGTATTCGATTTTGCTCTTCTATACCTCGTGTCATTGAGAGGTCTTACTTCTTGGCGCACATTGCGCTTGTTCTGTATTGTTTTGGTGTGGAGGAAGCCTATTGGAGCTGAGTTAATGTTCTGCTTTATGGACAGCTGGGCATTGGGTGCATTCAGCTTTTGCTCTTGAGGTGACCTGGGCCATTGGAAATGGTCAAGCTCTTTGATGGGTGTTTTTGGAACACAAGACGTGATAAAGGATAGGTGTTCTGGCACTTTCAGCTGCTCTTGAGGAAGTTCTGATAACGCTTCAAGGAGTCTCCTCTCTGCCCTCAAGTCTGTATTGCTGAGGATATGACCGTTCAGAGTGCCCCTTACAGACCCCTTTGATGGAAGCTTTTCAAGCTGCTGCATGAGAAAATCTCTTCTTCTTGCCATGTGTTCGGCATGACCGATTCCAGCAGTCACTTTGAGAGGTGGCAGTAACATTGGTGAGCGTAAGATATGGAGTTCGTCCACATTGTAACAGTTAGTACAAATCGGAATGGCTTTGCTTGTAAATGGAGATGAGATTGCTTGTACATTCCTATCCTTGCTCGGTCTTTGTTCTCCAGGAGATACTAGGTTTACTGTATCACAATGTGTTTCTGTTGTGGAAACCATGGCAGTAGAAAGGCAGTGATCTGTAAACTCAGAGGGCAGGTCCTCCTCTACAGGAATGGTACTGACCGGTCTCTGTTCTGCTCCAGGCATCTCTTTATGGTTAACGTGTATTGTGTCTTTTGTTTCTGATGATGTCCCGTCTTTATTGTCTGGTACATAGTACAAGTCAAGGCACAGGAGACAGTCTGTAACCTCTACTTGTTTCAGTTTTTTCGGTTTCCTAACCGGGTACATGCAGGCTGTAGCAGAAACTGGACCCCATCCGCCAACCTATAGTGCCAAAAGGAACAAAAACAAACAATCATTAATATTCTAACTGCGCAGTTCTGGTAAATTATAAATAGGATCCTAAGGATCTATGGAGGGTCTGATCTTATTTTATTATGATTTTTTATTTATTTAATAAAATGTATCTGTTATTGAAGAGCTTCTCATTGCTGGTTCTGGTGGCATTATCCGGAGTCATTGAATACAGAGAACATGACCGGCTGAGTTTATATGAACTACCGTATTTTTCGCTCTATAAGACCCACCTAGGTTTTAGAGGAGAAAAACAAGAAAAAAACCATTCTGAACCAATGGACTGCAGACACAGTACGGGGGATGACCAGAGACTGCGGACACAGCGCAGGGGATGACCAGAGACTGCGGACACAGCGCAGGGGATGACCAGAGACTGCGGACACAGCGCAGGGGATGACCAGAGACTGCGGACACAGCGCAGGGGATGACCAGAGACTGCGGACACAGCGCAGGGGATGACCAGAGACTGCGGACACAGCGCAGGGGATGACCAGAGACTGCGGACACAGCGCAGGGGATGACCAGAGACTGCGGACACAGCGCAGGGGATGACCAGAGACTGCTGACCTTGGGGGAGGGAGGGGGAGCGGGTACCTGAATTTGACAGGTACCCACTCCCACTTCCGCGGGTCCTTCCCTCTTCTTCCCTGGCCGGCTTCTGAGACAGCCGGGTGCCCACTGCGCATGCACGAGAAGCGATGCGCTTTGTGAATGGCCCGGCGCCTTCTGGGACCTGTCATGTGTCCCAGAAGACACCGGATCATTCACAAAGCGCAACACATGCGCAGTGGGCACCCGGCTGTCACAGAATCCAGCGCGGGAAGACTGTGCAGCGCTGGAGCGAGGAACAGGTAAGGTCCTGCAGGAGAGAACAGCTGAGCGGCCCGGCCCGGTATTCTGACATGGTGGTGGCAGAAATACCGGACCGGCCGCTTTATATTCGCTCCATAAGACGCACTGACATTTCCCCCCTTTTTGGGGAGAAAAAAGTGCGTCTTATGGAGCGAAAAATACGGTACATGCTTGTTATATCCACGTTCTGGTAAGGGTGTTTTATCCTTACACTTAGAAGTGGACACGTTTTACACGGTTTGCACACTGCATAAGAGTGACAATAGCAGCATGCACAGCTCACATTATACTCACCTGTATGGGTTACCACGTTTGGTTTAGTGTGATTCACATGCGTTTGCAGTGATGTTATTTTTATTCTATGCGTATCTATGGTATTACACTATGTGAGTTCTCTCTTTCTTTGAGGTTCGATCTCCATAATCATTGGATTTATATCCTGCTGGAAGTCATTTTGCGGACTGTCTATTTGGAGGACTCTCGATTACTCATTTATCTTATTCATTTATTGGTTTTTATTTTGGACATTGTAATTTTTGGACAGTATTATTTATTAGTGGTATTCAGTAATTAGCAAGCTCTTCAAGAGGGTTTCCCTTTAAAAAAAAAAAAAAAAAAAGACAGAATTTTGAACCGGAAAGTGTACTACACTGGTTTACAAGGTCATGCCATCCCCTGTGGCCAGTGCTTGTTGATGCAAATTGTACCACACAATAAGCAGATCAACAATCTAAATTATATGTCTGTGGTTGGAAAAACCTATTTTGTGAAGAAACAGCAACCTGAATTAGCATCTTTGGGTGAAAGGCAGCAGAAAATGCTCTATGCAAAACAGTCACATCTGTGGGTAGAGCTATAGAAGGCATGGGTGGAAATTTTCCCTATCTGCAAAAATTAGTCAGATTGCTAAACATTTGCTAATGGAGAATTCTATGATAAACCTTGGGCTGCTTTAACATTGATTTGGTGCAGTATGACTGCATCGGGAGCAGCACAGCTTATGCACATATTTGGAGCGGGTTAGCTACGCTTTCCCATAGAGTTCTATTGTATCCCGCTTTCAGAAAGAGCACCAAACACGCAGGACATAATAGGACTCTATGAAAGTGCAGCTAACCCACACCAAACATGCAAGTACACTTCACTGCTCCTGCAGTGTGGTCAAACAGCACTGCATCAATGTAAAAGCTGCCTAACAGTTCTATAAAATAAAAAAAATATTGATATAGTTTCTCAACAACAGCATTTCTAAATACCAAAATATATAAATGCACTATATTGCCAAAAGTATTGGGTCACCCCTCCAAATCATTGGATTCAGGTGTTCCAATCACCTCCATGGCCACAGGTGTATAAAATCAAGCATCTAGACATGCAGACTGCTTCTACAAACATTTGTGAAAGAATGGGTCACTCTCAGGAGCTCAGTGACTCCAAGCGTGGTACCGTGATAGGTTGCCACCTGTGCAATGAGTCCATCCGTGACATTTCCTTCCTACGAAATATTCCACGCTCAACTGTTAGTGGTGTTATAACAAAGTGGAAGGATCTGGGAACAACAGCAATTCAGCCAGCAAGTGGTAGGCCATGTAAAATAATAGAATGGGGTGATCACATGCTGAAGAGCACAGTGCAAAGAAGCAGCCAACTGTCTGCAAAGTCAACAGCTAAAGACCTCCAAACTTGGTGTGGCCTTCAGATTAGCAAAACAACAGTGCATAGAGAGCTTCATGGAATGGGTTTCCATTGCCGAGCAGCTGCATCCAAGCCTTACATCACCAAGTGCAATGCAAAGCGTCAGATGAAGTGGTGTAAAGCACGCTGCCACTGGACTCTAGAGCAGGGGAGATGTTTTCTCTGGAGTGACCAATCATGCTTCTCTGTCTGGCAATCTGATAGTGTCTGGGTTTGGCGGTTGCCAGGAAAACGGTACTTGCCTGACTGCATCGTGCCAAGTGTAAAGTTTGGTGGAGGGGGGGATTATGGTGTGGGGGTTGTTTTTCAGAGGCTGGGCTTGGCCCCTTAGTTCCAGTGAAGGGGACTCTTAAAATGTCAACATACCAAGACATCTTGGACAATTTCATGCTCCAAACTTGTGGGAACAGTTTGGGGATGGCCCCTTCCTGTTCCAATATGACCGTGCACAAAGCAAGGTCCATAAAGACATGGATGAACAAGTTTGGGGTGGAGAACCTTGACTGGCCTGCACAGTTGACCTCAACCCGACAGAACACGTTTGGGATGAATTTGAGCAGAGACTGCGAGCCAGGCCTTCTCGTCCGACATCAGTGCATGACCTCACAAATGCACTGCTGGAAGAATGGTCAAACCTTCCCATAGACACACTCCTAAACCTTGTGGACAGCCTTCCCAGAGGAGTTGAAGCTGTTATAGCTGCAAAGGGTGGGCCAACTCAATATTGAACGCTACAGACTAAGACTGGGTTGCCATTAACATTCATGTGCGTATAAAGGGAGGCGTCCTAATACTTTTGGAAATATAGTGTACATATATTAAAAAAAATATCCCAAACTATTTGGTTTCCCATTTAATAATCACATAATAGTGGATATCTTGCACTCTAAATGTAACAGGTCTTCAGCTGTTGTGATAACATTTTCTCCAAGTAGGTTTACTGATTAGAAATCTAAGCCACTGAGGCTTTATACAGTATATAGTTTGACAATAAATAATAAAATGGATAAATTAAAGTAATATTGAATTATATGGAAGACCAGTTATCGTTTAGGTCTAGTGAACCTTCTCAAGGATTTGTTTGTAAGAATTTCTAATATAATGAAATTTCACAGCGGCTGATTTTGAATGTAATACCAGCCAATGTATCTTTTCTATGATCACACAATATTATTTTTCATGCTGCTTTAGATCAAATTTAAAAAGAGAATTGATACATCCTAATTTCTGCATCCCCTTTGAACAAATTCCTTGGGGGAAAAAAACATCTTGTGAACACATAATAATAAAAAAGGGTTTTGCACTCAGTAGAAATATGAGAAGAGAATGTAAGAACGTTTTCACTGATGGAGACCTTTTAGATGGAGTGAGTGTGTGGGGGGGGGGGGGGGGGGGGGGGGGGGGGGGGGGGGGGGGGGGGGGGGGGGGGGGGGGGGGGGGGGGGGGGGGGGGGGGGGGGGGGGGGGGGGGGGGAGGGTTATAAACTGAAACCAGAGGTCAGCATCCTATGACTCTCTCCATGTCCTACTAGCTTGACCTAAGTGCTTATTTCCCTCACCTGGTGTATCTAAACCCTCTCCTTTTATATTCTAAGCATATTTGGGAAGACTTCCTAGGGTTTCATATATTGATTTGTTTAAAGTACAAGTTCACCTTTTAAACCCCCCCCCCCCCCAAAAAAAAAAATGTTCATGCTCATTCAGAATTACAAGCCGTCTGCCGTGGTGGCTGTCAGTACTTGTAATTCATTCATTCATTCATTCACAGGAAATGGATGATGAGGCCATGTGGAGCCCTGCACAGCCACATTGTTTTTGAATTGTGACAGGGGGAGCAGAGAGAAGATCCCCCATCCACTGTCACAATGAGAGGGGGATCAGGAGGAGGAGCTGGAACAGGTTACAGATGGAATATGTTCATTTTCCAAAAGGTGAAGGTATCCTTTAATGTTCGTGTTCTACTGTGTAAGGCCTCCCTAACCTATCATATAAAATTAGCTTTGTTTTAATTGTGACTTGGAAATGTGATGTCTACTTACCGCTTCTTCCCATCCTGTCCCTATTAACAGCTCAACTGACTTCTGGTCATCATATAAAAGCTTCTCACTGATCTCCACGAGAGCTTCAGTTAAAACCTTCTCCCATTTCCCACGTGGGGAACACACGTTCTGCGGGATTTCTTCTAAATCTTGCAAATTCTCTAACAGTACGTCGTTATCTAGGATAGCCATTGGATTGCCTTCTAAAATAATCCTGAAACACAAATTAAAAATGAACGTGACCCTAATTAGCCAAAACTACTGATAAACAGAGTATTTGATAAAGAGAAACAAAGAATACACCCATAACAGCGACAATTCCATCACAAATAAAAATCAAATTCAAATAGAGATAAGCTGAACACCGATGACGTCTTTTTGATTTTTTTCTCACACAAAATTTGAATGCATCAAGAATTAGTTCACAACATCAAATCCAAGTACATTGCCCCCTATGATTAAGCCCCAGCAGGATCTGGGCAAAGTGCCTGGACTTGGGGACTCCATTGTACAATAAAGTTTTCTGAAGAAAAGAAAAAAGGCAGATGTGTGGGCTGGGGGAGGGGAGGGGCTTGTGACGTCATGACGCTTGCGGTCATTGGAACATTGATGAACACGAGACGAGTGAAATATATAGATCCATGTTTTGCAGAATATATGTGGTGCCATCCAGGACTTTTTTATGCGTTTGGCCATTTTAAGTTTTAAATAACCAATGTTTTATTAACACTATGGGGTTTATTTACTAAAGCTGGAGAGTCCAAAATCAGACTCCCTTCTGCATAGGTTCTAAACTCAGCTTGTTCAATGAAGCTTTGGCAATGAAACCTGGAAGCTGATTGGTTTCTATGCAGAAGGGAGTCTGATTTTGGACTCTCCAGCTTTAGTAAATAAACCCCTATTAGTCTTTAGGTTTTTTTTATGTCAGTTGGAAAAAAGGAGTAGTAAAGGCGGGTGGAGACGATGATCTGTTTATTAAGAAAGACTATTCCTCCTCATGGTTCATCTCCACCCCAGTCCATTAAAGGGACACAAGCGCATTATGACCAAGCATTACATGTGAGGTCAAAATATTCAGGTGAGCGCACAATCGTGGCATTTGGTGAAGGAGCACACGGATTTTTGAATATAAAGATTTGCATGTTTTTGTAGGAATACGAATATAGGTTTGAGAAGAGGATGTCACAACATTAATCACATCTCTCAATCACAATATAGAGGACTCGCGAACTTCGCATCACTGTTATATTTTGTTGCTTTTTGTATTTATTAATGTATGTGTAATGTTCATGGAGTTTTGAGAAGCGCGGCATTATAATTTTTTATTTTAGATGTGTGTGTTATTTTATTTTCATTTGGCAAGTCGGAGAATAACAATCCCTGTTTAGCCAGCACCCTCATTCAAGGTGAGCCACAAGACTGCCTGGTGCAGTATCCTGTATAGGCAAGGATAAAAAAAGTATGCCTTTATGATCTCAAATGATCTGCACTTGCCATTTCATTCTGACTGCAACCTGCCACTTATACTATTCACAGCAACTGAAACAATATCCTATAACATGGACGGATCTAGATCGATGCTGGGGTGGGCTATGCCCCTCCCCAGGTTTTAGTTGCCCCCCACCCTACCCCGAACACTCTGCCTGTCTGCGTTCATACTGCAGACACTGCATACTTTTTCCCTCTCCTTGCAGCTTTGTAAATGTACAAGTAAATACTGCCAATCTAAATCGATCGGGTCAGGGGGTGGGGAAGGCTTCCTGTACAACTCCCTTGTCCTCCCCTGGAGGAGCTCTGCTGCTTGTGCACAGGCTGCGTGAAGTACAGGGATGGGAAAAGGAGCTCTGCCCCCTGCCCTGCCAGCAGTGACCCCTGCCACGCCAGCAGTGGTCCCTGTTCTCTGCCGCGCCAGCAGTGGTCCCTGTCCTCTGCCGCGCCAGCAGGTGAGCCCTGTCCTCTGCCCCGCCAGCAGTGAGCCCTGTCCTCTGCCGCGCCAGCAGTGACCCTGTCCTCTGCCCCGCCAGCAGTGACCCCTGTCCTCTGCCCCGCCAGCGGAGAGCCCTGTCCTCTGCCCGCCAGCAGAGAGCCCTGTCCTCTGCCCGCCAGCGGAGAGCCCTGTCTCTGCCCCGCCAGCAGTGACCCCTGTCCTCAGCTCTGTTGTCTTCTGTACTGCCCTACAAACTTTTGGCCTCTGACACTGCCCTAATGCTGACCCCTCCTGTACACTGCACTGCTGATCTCCCATATTCTGCCCCCTGACATTTTTTACTGCACTCCCACATTGGACAAGCTAGATCCGGCCCTGTCCTATAATAATAATCATGGAAAAGGAATGTGTGAGGATTCTGTTTAAAGTAAAACTGATTTTGCAAATACACTTTTCAGAAGTCAAAGTAAAAAGGACATAGTGCAGCAGGCTTCATTTCCAGTTAGAGATTCAAAAAGCTTGTAACCATTTCTTTCCTCTGAAATGAACTCCCAAATATAAAAAAATTCAGAAATCTTTAAATAGATTTTCTATGTATCTGTATGCTTTGTATTTTGCCAGAATTCGTCATTAAATCATGGCTTGGATTGCATGACTTCATTTCCAATGACTTTTCTAATTTGCTTTACACCAACTCTATGGTAGGCATTTAAAAGATCCCAGTATGACAGAGCATGATGTTGCTAATCGAATGCCCTGCAAATATTGGGAACTTAAAGCCTAACTACAGTTATTTTCCTTTAAATGCTTTCCCTTAAGCCAGCCATAGATGGTTCGAATCTCAGCCGGTTCAGCAGCAATCAGCTGAGATTCATCAATGTATGGCCATGCTGATTGTACCCAAGTTGATCCATCGACTGACTTGGGTACAACCAGCATGTTGAATTTCCAACGTGCAAATATTACCAGCGGCTGAAGCTGCTAGCAATAATCACGGTGTTCTCCCACCAGGGATGGCTCCACGCCTGCATCCCCACCACAGGGAGAACACACAACACCTCTGCGGGAGGGATTCTCCCATCAACACTGACTGTCTTGATGTGGGAATCAAGCAATTTTTGCATTATCACATCATTTATGGCCTGCCTTACTCTATGGAGAATACTCACCCTCTACATGCTCCTGTGGGGTACTCCCCATCCTCCTCTGCTTGGCATGGCTGTTGTCAACCCAAGCCCTGCAATAACCAATCAACTTCCCGTGAGCCCAAACCATTAATAGCACTCCAATCAAATAACAGAAACTACCCAGTTCAACTTGCCAGCCATCTAGCCAACAACAATGGTCAGCAGCCCCAGTCTAAAATTGGCTTTTATTAGCAAGGAACATGGACAGGTATCGCATATCAAAAAAAGGGGGAGAAAAATACCCAGTTCAACTTGCCAGCAGCCAACAACCAAATTAACCTGTCTAACAATATGCGTTTACAACTGGGTATTTTCTCCCCCCTTTTTTTATATGCGATACCTGTCCATGTCCCTTGCTGATAAAATCAAATTTTAGACTGGGGCTGCTGACCATTGTTGTTGACTAGATGGCTGGCAAGTTGAACTAGGTAGTTTCTTTTATTTGATATGCGATGCCTGTCCATGTTCACTGCTGCAAAAGCCAGTTCTAGACCGGGGTAGTGACCACCTTCTTGTACATTAATGGCACTCCCCCTTGGGTGGGGGTTATCATGTAGCCTGAACCCACAGGACAAAATACTGCAAAGAACAGCCCTCATGTCACAATTGGAGCGCTGTTCCCTACAGCAGAGAGGACCGCTAATGCTGAAGACAAGATGCTGGAGGAAAAGGGCTTGGCATGTGACTAGCAAATGTATCTGCGATGATTGGCGATATGTGGAGAATTCTAAGTTGATGGAGCTGAATAGTAAAACTATTGGAAAGTACAATTTATGTGTCGCTTATATCAGCCAATAAAAATTGTATATTTTCTGGCCTGCACTAGTACACAAAGCTGGGGTATGATGTACTGAAAACACTCACCACAGATACATTATTTTCTGCCCATAAAGCTGTCGTAAGAATCCCTCATAATCCCCCCGTCTCTGTGGAGCGCTCGGTTTCACTGTCAGATGTTGTATCATGATACACGTATCTTTCCTGATTTCCTCTGTTGTTCATGCAGTGTGACCTACTTAATACCCCGGCTTAGTGCTAAGAGAAATTCCTCTATAACTAATTTACAGTCTCAGTATGTCTGCCAACAGCAGCATATGTGCAATTTATTATTATTATTATTATTATACAGGATTTATATAGCGCCAACAGTTTGCGCAGCGCTTTACATAATCAAGGTAGACATTACAGTTACAATACAATTTGGTACAAGAGGAAACAGAGGGCCCGGCTCATCAGAGCTTACAATCTAGGAATTACAGTAGCACTCCGGTTCTGCTTTTACAATGTTTAGTAAGGGCCAAGCTAGTCCAATTATATTTTTATACTTCTTTGTGAATAGGTTTCTTGAAAAGTCTGTAGTAGCATCATGCAACGATACAGTTCCTTCACAGAAACAAACCAGAAATCAAAAAAATACTTTTATGGGTTAAAGCCCCATTCAGGTCATAAACTGAACCCCTTCCTATCCACCACCCTCTAAATCCATACTGAAAGGGGTTTTATTTTGTCTTACCTGAAGAAAGAAGAAATAAGCAGCTAAGTCCCCCATCCAGGTACCTCGCCGCTGCTGGGATCGCTCAGACTACTAATCCAGTACGTAGATAGTCCCTTTGCCTGCCAGTCTACTTTCCTCACATGCTGACATCACTCCTCTGCTGGATCCTGAGAGAACCCCCACTATTAGGGAGCCAATAGGAAAAGTTCATGTTAAACAGGCAGTGATGTGAACACATGACCCCAGAGGAGATAAACAAAGGAAAAGAGAAGACCTGGGACTGCAGTGTCATGTGACCATGTTTGCCTTCCTCTGGATCAGTGTTTCTCAACTCCAGTCCTCATGGACCCCCAATAGGTCATGTTTTCAGGATTTCCATTGAGATGTGGCATTCCTCCCCACTGATTTTGCACAGGTGATTTGATCAGTTTCACTGCCTTAGTAATTACCACAGCTGTTTCATCTGAGGGAAATCCTGAAAACATGACCTGTTGGGGGTCCATGAGGACTGGAGTTGAGAAACACTGCTCTGGATCAACTGTGGGTAAAGAATTATAACTTTTTTTTTTTATGGTTGAACTGG